GCTGTAATTACAGTGTGTTGGAGCAGCCTCACTGCATGTGTATAGGCACCCATTATGTTAGTGCTGCTTTAATTAAAACACCCCCTTGCCCACTCCCAGAGCCCAATGATTATAAATTCTCTTTAGATTTCTAGTGTAGCCAAGAATTAAAAGGCTGCTTACTACTCAAATCTCTATTCTACTTATCCTCCCAAGTGCTAGGAAAGAACTGGAAAAGGCTGAGACAGCTCCAACATTTTACTCAGGCTGGGATACAGAGTTACACTGTATTGCTCCCAGAAGTATATGAAGGGACAAAGGGAAAACTGAAAAAAATCTAACAGTGTCTAAGCATTCCTAGGGTGATCTACTTCCCTGTCAAAGGCTGTTGAAAATAAGTTGATGTCTACTAATATTTTTAATTAATAAATTATTCAGAAGTTCAACCCCTACCCCTGTGTATGTGTGTGCGCAAGTGTGGTGTTTTTCCTTTTGCTGCAATGTTTATATATTTCAGTTCTTGTCTTATAAAGTTTAGCGGTTAGGGGATACTTTAGTTTTCAATGTCTTTTGGTGGAGCAAGATTAAAGGAAAAGACCTATTCTTAATTCGCACATGGTACATGAATAACTCCAGGCACTTTGTTGGAAAAAAAAATCAACTATCAGGGTTATAATGCAAGCTTTATACAAGGAGTTCTTAAAGGCAGAAGGAAACTAGAAGGAAACAAGCAAGTACTTTATAGAATTCCTCAACGAGTCTTCCTGAAATAACATACTCTGAAATACTTGCTTGCCATGCTGTTTGTTCCAAACCCAGAATAAGAGACAATTACATTTTTCTATTTTTACTTTGGGTATGTTTTTTTACTTATCCCCAGGTACAAATGATGGTTCAAATGTGAAGTCATTGGTTATCTCTCTCTCTCTGATGGGTATTCCAGCAATAACCTCCCACATGCACAAAATCAAAAGGTACACTAATACTATTTTGATCAAAAAAGTCATTTCCATATCCACAATAAATATATTATGTTATCATTAATCTATAAGTGTAGACTCTTAAAATAAAGCACATAGTATAAAAGATTTCCATAGGTCAGTAAAGCAAAAAGGTGCATCTCCCATAGACTAATATGAAAAGTAAAAAAATATATATATTTTTAAAATGTCTCTAATATGCGTAATTGATCTTCATTTTGAAAGCAATAAGAGGTAACAGCAACTTATGCCCTGGCACCCTCTTAAAATATAAATGGATGAAACAGTGTTTCAAGACATAGTGTCATATCATAGTGTGAATGCCATTTATTTAGAATCTTAGCTAACAAGCCAATTTACAGCCATAATATATTATCCTAAGTAGTAAGCACTTACACGGAATGAGGAGCCCTTCTTACACCGGATGCCGGCCTTCTTTTACAAAACTCCTTAAGCCAGGCAATGATAAAGGGGTTTAAAGAAAGTCAGAGAGTCAAGATTAAAGTCTGCCCTCAAATAATATCTCAAGAGCTTTCAGTTTTGCTGGAAGAGAACTGTATGCTATGCTATATTATTATTAGAGTCATAAACTTTGGGGACATTCAGGGATCAGACAGAAGTGCAGCTCCCTGCTGTAGCTGATAGGGGTGCACTAATAGAGATTTTTGGGGCCGATAAATATCAATATGCCGATATTTAAGAAGGCATATTGGTCAATACCGATCCGATATCTGCGCGTGGGATGGAGGTGTGGCTTGTGGGAAGGATGCTGCAATCACCCCAAATTTCACTGTAGCACTGTAGCACCGTAGCACCGTGTAGCTGCCAGCTGCCAAATGCAGATAAGTTACAGAAGACATTCTATTTTGAAACGTCTTCATCTGACCCCTCATGCAATGTGGGTTCAGATTTTCACCCAACTGGTCATTTTTGAAGCTGCCTGCAGCTGTGCACTTGTGTTTGGTCAAGGCTGTATGCCATTTTTTGTGGCCAAATTGGGTAAAATTGTCACTTCTCTCTGAGTCCTCACATCCTAGATTTAGTTCAAGCTTATTTTCTAAATGTCATAGTAAGAGTACCTAAAATGGCCGTAATTAAACAGTTTACATATACACCTAATCTATATTTATCATTAATGCCACTTCTCTACTAGAATAACTTCATTAAGATTAGCAGGTGGCACCATTAGTAATGGTCTCAGTGCCATTTATGAATGTTGGCTAATGATATATCAGTATGTGATCTGGTTGGTTCAGTCATTTCTGTAGCATCAGCATTTTTGAGATTATGGAAGACTAAGACTTCTCTTCCTAAATCAGGATGAAACCTGAAAATCTAAAAAATAAATTGTGAACTGATAGTCAAAATGTTGAAACAAGATACTTGCTGAAACAATTTTTTTCTAAAATGTTTTGAGTTAAGACATCTGTTACAATCAATCCTTTTCTGTATAACATTCTACTGAAGAAGTATTTCATTGTAGAATTCCTGACCAGTTCTAATTAAAGCATTCAGTAGCTTTGTGGCAGGTGGAGAACCATATTGAGGACCCTCCATTTTTTTTTGTTTAGACAATCCTCAATATTGTATCATCTACCACCATTCTCTAATCTTTGGCTTGAATAAGCATTTGTGCTTATGATGTTTACCACTAATAAAAGTACAAACAGATTCACTCCTTTGTGTGCTTGGCTTGAAGGAAGACCAAACATTTCAGTTTTTGGGATTTAGTTTCTTTCCATTAGGCTCGTGCTTCCCCAAATTTCCATGCCAATTGGAAAAAAACAAACTATGAATCCGTTTTACCTTCATTGATATATATTTGATTTGTTTTCATCCGTAAGATATTTATGCATATTAAATCTTTGAATAGCAGCTATAAATTCCAAAATATATAGGCCTGTCTTAGGTCCCTTATGTTTATCTGTACAGGAATGAAATAATAACCATTTAAGGAACCTGCAAATTAAGAATTTGCCGAATAGGAAACATGAACTAAGCTGCTTCAGTTACTATTTTCTTTAACAAACATATCAACTTTGCCTAATACTTCATAACAAATCCTATAACATTTCATGTATGTAGATAACCCAGTATATTACTTTCATGCATACCCTTTACAGTACTAGGAAAAGGGATGAATATCTTCCTCATTATACTTTTGATCCTTTTTACTTAATCATTATTTAATTTGCATTGGTTATGTCTCATAATAACACTAGTTTTTAATGTTTTAGTGATTTAGTAAATTGAAATGTTCTTCAGATGCTCTTTCCATATTCGGCTGTTCAGTTGCAGCCTAGTGTTAGCCCATCACAGAAGGTTTATTTATTTTTTAAGAGTGTCTATTTTTGTTTCACCTTAAAACTTTTTCTGTTGCATGGGTATTTCTTATAAGGAGTCTGACCCTGGAAAGCAGTGAGTGTCCTCAAGTAACATTTTTCCTGAAGGCATCCAGCACTTTTTAGGTTCAGGCCCTAAATCCTAATTTTATATCATCACAAGACTACATTAAGGTAATTCTATAAGTTATTCCTCAAATTCTATACAGTAGAGTACATACAGTTATAAATACACGATAGACAAAAAAAAAGCTGGAAAATATGTTGTATAGCATGGGTATCAAATTTACCAGGCCCTGCAGGCTTGATGTATGATGCAGGACCAGCCCACAGGCTGGATGAACAGCCTGTGTAGCTGGCTCCCCAGTTGGCCCATAGATCCACCCTCTTCACTCCCGTGTGTTGGATCTAGTGCATGTGACACTCACTCTGGCCAGTCTAGGACTGCGCTGCATGTGGTGCCTGTGCAGGGCCAATCTGGGACATGTGCTTCACATGGCACATCCTCCAGCTGCTCCAGGCCCCACACAGCATGTAGCATGGGTCCTGGGCTGGGCAGAGTGGGTGCTCTGCGTGGTCTGCATCCTGGGTCTTGCATGCAGCTTGAGAGTCAACTTTGGACCCAAGGGCAGTGGTGTGGGGCTGGATGATGGGGCTCTGCAGGCCATGTCTTTGACCCCCCTATTTTATTATTAAATAATATGGCTTTCAAGAAAATTGAAAGCTAGAGATTTATTGGTATAACTTTAAGGGGATATATTATGTACTCCCCTTAGCTGAATGATAACAAATAAATTATCTGATGGCGTTGATAATTTGACCATGCGTTGAATTAAAAAAAAATACTTGTCATTTGTTCTTGTGAGACCAGACAACATGAAGACAGTGCAAGAATCATCAAGTCAACACCATAAAATTAACGTTAGTGATATCATCTACATATACCACAGGACAACAGAATTTGAGGCTATTTCTCTCTTCCCATGTGCAAAATATTGTTTTCCATTTCAATGCATGTGGCACAGACTCAGACTTTTATAAAAATACTTATGGTAAAATACATAATACATTTATAATGAATCTTCATTAATTTTAGAAAGACTAATTTAATATTATTTATACATTATAAATATTATTTAGAATCAATGCTGCACTCAGTACAGAAGTCAAAACTTATGGTAAAATAGCCTCTCAACCTGAACGATACCTCTGTTGCAACCTACATAAAGTCCCTGTAAAAAATGTACAGATTGTTAGTAGTTACTTAATTCAGGGTCCAACATCCTGATTTTACCTCTTTTGTGTTAGTGCATTATGCATAGACTACTTCAAATACCCATTTAGAAAACAGTGTCATTTTAAAACCATGTAAGGAAGAGTAATATAAAACCATTCATAATTCCCCTGTAAACAGCTTAGTGTTCCTTCTACAGAATGAGCAAACTGCTTACAAGAACTGAAAAATCTCTGGTGGATTGTCTTGGGAAAGATGTGCAAAGCAGGATTCCATAACATCTAACATAAGGTGCTCCCTAGGGAATGGACACAGTAAAGCATCATGCAAGGTATTAAGTCACACTGTCATTATTTTCATGTGTCTTCTTTCAGTTGGTGGTCACATTGGCTTGCTTCTGACGTAGTTTTTCTTTCTGTTGTTTAAGAAAAAAGAGCTTTATTATCATTCTTTTCTCTAAGTTTTCCATCTGCTCTCAACTTGTAACAAGCATGTGGTTTAGAATATTGAGAAGCACCAAACAAGTCATAGTAAATTAGAGCCCATTTACTCCAGCAAATTAACTCCTGGAGTGCCATGCCCAGAGAACTTTTTAAAGTAATTTGCAGTTATCTCTCCTGTAAAGATTTCTTTTGACATCTAAACATTGAACTTTTAGTGCCTTTCTAGACTTTTCTATTAATTTAACCTGTACTGTATGTCTTTAAAAAAGAGTTACTCCAAACTTAAGCAGGTAGTTCTGCAAAAAGCAATACTACATTTTAAAATAAAGTTTGAATTTAATACCTTCTTGAGCACTTCAACATACATAACAATTAATATAGGTATTTCTTTAAGAGATAAGTGGTAACAGCTTTTTGCTTTGTCCTTAAGCATTTACCATTCTTGCATTGGTTGAAAAAGCTAGACATAGATATATACAGCAAAACAATTGATGGTTTACAGTTTGGTTTTAAATACTATTGCTGAATACAGTATGTGCAAATGCATTTATTAGCAGTTTATTTATTGACTTAGCACACATAAGCTTACATTGCCAACACTACCTGAAGTGATGCTAACTTGGGGGGAACAATTATTGGGGCCCGAGAGCCACACGGGGAGGTCCGATGAGCTGTTGCAGGCTGGGTCAGCACCCTCCCCACCAACAACTCACCAAAACTCTCTATGGGGCTGTGGGCAGGCAGGAAGCAGTATTCAGGAGTGGGAGGGGCAGGTGAGGCTGAGATCATGGGAACCTGGGGCCCAGGGTCCAAGGCCTGGGCCCTGGGCCCAGTGCCTACATGTCCCTGCCCGCTGGGGTGAGGAGGTGTGTGTGGGGAGTGGCAGGGGGGTCATGTGCATGTGTGTGTGGGGGTGTTGCCTGGGTGCTAGGTACCAGGCCTCTGCTGTGGGTGAGGGGATAGGGGCAGGGGGCATGTGCAGCCAAGCTCACCCAGGCAGTGCGGTCCCTGCTGCCCCTGGGGTGCTCTGCATGGGGTCGAGCCCTGCTTGCTCACACCAGGACAGCCCGGGCCATGCTCCCATTACTGCCCATGCCCTGGCTGGATGCTGCTCTGTTCTCCCCACCTCCAGTGGTGGCTCCTGCTCCTGATCTTGCCCCTGCCATGCTGTGCTGTGCTGTATCAGGTATCAGGTGGGCGGGTGTAACAATGTAATACATGATTAACTGTTTAATCACATCTTAAGTGTAATGTGAGCCATGGACCAAATATATGACAAATTCTAGTAACTTTTACTGGGGGTCTGAAGTGCTGCCAAACATGTAGGTATCTTGGCTAGAAATATTTTTTTTCCTAAGATGTAAATTGGTTACATACATCTTTTAAATACAGAGATGCATACATTGAATTAATACTTTCAATAGGTAGTAATTTGAAAACATCTTCAAGGTTTTCAGTATGACTTTGTTCAATATTCTGATAAACCATCTCTACAAAACAATTCATTATTAACCCATTATTGTGTTAACCATATCACCCTGATTGAGAATCACTAGGTTAAAATAATGGGAAGCGTACTGAGCCACTGGCTTACAATAATGGGTCAACCAGGGTGCCACAGCACTCTGGGGTGCCTTGAGATCCTTTCCAGGTGAGTCAGGGTGACATGCAATGTTAGCCCTATTAGGTGCGCAAGTATGGTTCACAAGGCAAGCCCAGGGGTTTCAAATAGGAATTCATAGTGTTAAAAACATTTTAACTAGTTGTGGTCTTTCTGAATGTTTTACAACAGGAAAACTGCTCTATTATTTTTCTATAATCTAAAAACAAATGAAAACTGACAGCTGGTATTTTCTAAAGGGTGCCTTGAGTCTAAAAAAATGGAGAACCACTGGCATAAGCATCTATGACATAAGCATTTATTTCAGGCTGTTAATTAATTTAAAAGTCCCTCCTCACTTAACATTTGTGAGATGTCAGAAAGGAATCTTTAGAAGTCTAACATGAAGCTAGGATGGTGTCTTTTTGAGTGGTTTGAAAATAACATTTCAGAGTACATAAAGCAGTACAGAAGAAGGCCCAGAGAGAACTTTTGGGAGAGAAAAGGTGAGTTAACAGGGCTCCTTCCTACTTTGATATCCAAGCCATGTCAGAGCTAGGCTTGGCCACAAGAAAATGCAGTTTTTAAATGTGATTGTTGCACCAATGTAGGTAAAGCCTTAAAGATTTTCCTCAGGAGGGATATCAATTTACTGCTTTCAAATTGATTAAACATGCATGCTACTAGCTATACTTCAATGAGAACTAAAAAGCACAGTTATTCTGTGTGCTGTGCTAAAGAATAAATCATACCAGGCTAGCTGTGGGGTTGACTTTTTTTGTTTCAACCTTCTTCTCTGCAGTTAACTTGTTTATGGTTTGCTGTGCCATTTTAATTCTGGAACAAAAAACAAACAAAAATATTATTAAATAAACGAACAAAACTATTCAACATCTGTTTGATACACCTAGTAAATTTCTGCCTCTAGTATCTGTTGGCTTAGAAAATGGTATTTAAAAGTTTTGGTTTTGGGGAATTCCCCAAAAACTGTAGATCTGTCTATCTATCTGCATTAGATAGATAGATAGATGAGCAGCAGAGGTTCATTGATTTCTAAAAGGCTTGAGTCTCACACATACAATGTTCCACAGCCTTTGAAGCAGACAGGCTGTCTAACACAACAAGGCCAATGGATACACACACAGCCTGGGGAAGAGGAGGGCATGTACCATACTGTTCCATAACACGAGCTAAGGTGGAGAACGCTGGAAAGACCAAAATAGTATGTGTGCATGTGATGAGCTTTGAGGATGTATGACAACAACACAGAGAGACCAACCAATGACAGCCTTGGATCAAGAGTCATCAGGAGTCATCAGGAGGGAAGGAGAATACTAAAGCAGAGACTTGAGAGTAACCAAGAGTCCCTCCTCTCCAGTCTCCTCCTCCCCGAGAGGGGTTCCAAGAAAGGACCCAGCTTTTCAGGGACCCCGTCCATGGGAGGGGATCCCTAAGGCCACCATGGACAGAAGGCACACCACCGGCCTGTCTCATCCACCCCACCGGGGGGGAGGGGCGGGGATGGGGCTCGTTATCCCACCTCCAGATTGGTGACATACTGACATCTGACACCTAACAGAGAGCCTCAGAGTGAAGACTGAATCCTGGCCAGATGTACTTTTACTCTGGTGACAGCCCTAGGATTTGGCAGATATATAGAATTGCTTGAACGTTTGTATTGTTTCTTTTCTGCTATTACTGTATATCAATAAATTTGCCTATTATCGAATGAAAAGGTCATGGTCAGTCTAAGGGTGGGTCCCCCAGAACAAGGCATCTGGGTCCTAAATTCAGAGCCAACAGTATCTATAGGAACATTATTCAACATATATTATGTGGGTAAGATTAAAGCAATGCAATGCACAGATGTACAGCTATATCAAGAGTAAACAAACAAAGAGACAGTGCTACTAATTAAATCTGTTCAATTGTACCTAATAAAACATTACAGAAACATCATTATGAATGAACTTTCAACCAACATGAAAATCAAAAGTGAAAGATCTTAACAACTGATTGTGCAACGCTTTTGAATGAACTTTCACCCAACATGAAAATCAAAAGTGAAAGATCTTAACAACTGATTGTGCAGTGCTTTGCTCATTGGCCAACCTCTGCAACCAACTAGAATCAATATAGCCTATTGGGTTGAAGGGTTCGCCCATATCAGCCTTGTAGGATTTGGGCTTTATAGAATTCTTTCCCCACTATGGAGTTCTAATAGAAAGGCAAGATAATATCCCTATTTCAGGAGCCCAAACAATAGGGGACTGACCATTTGTGCACAACTTTTGTACTTACTAAGTGCATTTTAGATTAATTTGATGACATCAGGGATTAAATCCTTCAAAACATATTACTATTATTTCAATGGTAGGCATAAACAATATGAACCTGACTGTTGAAATAAACATGGATTCTGAAACTGACTGATCCCCTAGGCTTATCCTTACCATGCAGGCCCTGAGCAAAGCCTTAAAAGTATGCAAATGATCCATCCCACTTAAACAGGGATAGGAATGTGGGAAGCTATTGAGAAGGTTTTGGATAGAGGCAAGTGGTCTGGTCTCAACCAGAGGTTGTAGATCAGTCCACTCTGGGTGTGTCTACATGTGCAATTAATTTGAAGCAATAAACTTTATATACTGGTTAATTCTTGATTACTAGTACCAAAGAACAGGAGCACTAATTACAAAGCCTCATTTCCAACTTTTTTTACCTGCTCTATTGATTGAAGCCAAAAATATACCTTTAGATAGAAAGCTCTGATAAGATTACTCAGTATTCAGCCTGTGTACAATTTCAATTTTGTCTGTTGTTCTTATATATTTTAACACCTGTTTTACTAGCATTTCCAGATTTTTACAGGGACTTTTTACTTGTGACTTACCTTTTCACCTTTTCAAGACTCCCAGATAGCTAAAATGATTTGGTTTTTAATGATGAGATGGCTCCTACTCATTGGACAGTACATTCCTCTTCATAACCACAAAGGGTAGGCTTAAAAGTGTTCTATAGAGCTTCAAGGCAATCCCTACAATAAGATTAAGTAGGACCAAACTAGGATGGTCAGGATATCATGAACTCCTTTGCCACTGACCACATTTTTTTTGTTCGATGCTTCTCTCCCTCTCTGAATCCGTGAGCTCACTCCTACCAGCTGTGAAAAAGTTGGAATGCTCACTTTCCCTCCTTAAGAGGAAGAAAGACTCTTAGGATGCCTGTAGACATGCAGGATGCCTGCTCTGATGAGCTGCAATTACAGCATGTCAGAGCAGGCTCAATCAAGTCTGCTGGAGCATGCTGATTAGCACACTCCAGCAGCCTTGGCATCTCGTGTATTCAGAGTCTCCGTGCTTCAAAATGACGGCAGGGGCACTTTAACTAAAGCTCATTTGACCATTTTGAAACATGGGATGCTGAAAACACAAGATGCTGCAGGTGCTTTAATTAGAGCAGCACCTGAAAACCGCTCTAATTAAAGTGCCTCCTCCCACCCCAGGAGCACATATAAGGATGCCCTTAGAGATCATAAATTTTTATAAATAAAAGAAGTGTTATCTATTTTGCTACTTTATTAATATATCTGAGTGGTTTACATAGATATTCCATGAACTCTAGGTAGAGTTTTCAGTAAAAGATGATCATATATAAAACAGAACTACAATAAAGCTTTTCACTGATCTATCAATTTTACTGTGATCTTTGTTTTAAAAAAGTGAGACGATGAGCAACACATTGTATTGTTCTCCTAAGAAAGCTTTAATTTCTGTACTAATGCATGATAGGTAAGTGCTAGTCATATTTTCAGCAATCTACATGCATAATTAGGATGAACTGAAGTATTCATAATTTTTTTAACATTAATTGTTCTATTTTATGAAATGTTTGAGGTTGGCAGTTACATCAGTAAAATAAACACACTGAGACCAGGCCTCACAGACAAAAGGAACTCCTTCCTAACTCTTGGAAATGTTATTGCTAACATATGTTGAAAACCTACTCTAGAATTCAAAAACTAAAATGTAAATTTACCAAATATGAAATCTACTTTTGCACAAGGTTGCAAATATGTAATATATCACCTTCTTGTACTCTTCCATTTTTTAAAGATAAAATAACTCCTTAAAACTTGAAAATGTTATTGTCCATTAAAAGGTAAGGTGCCTTTCCAGGCAAAAATACAAATATTTAAAATATATTTCAGAATTGTATGTACTTCCAGAAGTAGCACGTGAGCACATTTGATTGCAGTTGATATTCAAGGTGCTCTTTTTTCAGATGGAATAACCATGTAAAGATGCACACAACAAATGCAGACTAAACGGCTAAACATACAAGCTAGATTGGCTATTGGGCATATTTAATCAGCCTGTTAAGCATACATCTTCTTCAGTGTCATGAATAAAATGTGCGGTAACACTTCTTGTCTGCTTACTGTGTTGTTTTTTTGCTTAACATGGTAAAAGCAGAAATATTGATGCCACTTGTGTAGAAATACAATGATCATGAAAGAAGCAAAAGTAACGAGTACATGTAGTATAGGGTTTGTGAGTGAGACTTGGTCTTCATATTATAAAGATGCAACCTCTCTCAACCACACACCATTAGTTAGCCAACTAAAAAAACGCCTCTGACAAAAACAGTATTTTTCTATGGACTCTTTTTAAGAGTTAATTAAATACATTTTTATTTATTGTCTGACATTCTCTCAGACTGTGATATTACAGTATTATATTAATGACTAATTTGTAAAGATACCACACCACCTACTATTATTTTAATTATGTTAGAATAAAGTATTTAATATGCTATAAAGCAAGTCCTTTAGGATGTTAAATGCAGTTTATGAGACTTTATATAGACTTAAATTGCTGTACTTCTTCCTATAAAAGTATAAACTTCCTTGGGTATTTTTAATTGTTTGGCAATTACTTGTTCTCAGTTTATTTATGGTAAAACAAAAACTATGGGATAGAGTGTGAAAAAATTCTGTAACTGTGGTTATATTAAGTGTTAATGAAGGTGACCAGCTTAACATTGTCTAGATTATACAAATCAGGTGACAAGAAAAGGTATTTGTGAGAATATGGGAGCAGTATCCAGCTCTACAGCCAAATATCTGACGACTTGTAAAAACATTACTAAAATAGATCCTTAAAGCTAATAATGTGATTGTTCCTGCCTGCTTGAAAGTAACTAATGAATAAATGAGCAGTGGGGTTTACAGAATAAAGAAAATATAAGTACCCACTATATCTTGTTATCTGAGCTCATTTGTTAATCCCATGTTAAATGAGGAATGAATGGGAGGGAAGCGGGTGGAATATGCCAGTCATAAAACTCCCTAGGTAGTAGGAAAATCATTAGTGGACTAGGATGACCAGTTAGATGTGATAATGGGATCGAACAGTTTATAGATTTAGAGAAAGTTCATTTAATGTAAAGATTTGAGTCTGACATGAATTTCCTCTTTAGGCTCTCCTACTAAGGAGACTCAGCCAGGGAGTCTAGTCTGATCCTGCTCTCCTTGGAATATACAGCAGAAGAATCAGGCCCTAAAACACAATCTCACAATTTACACATGGGGGAGAGAGCACCAGTACCAGTACCAGTTCAGAGCATCCCAGTGCGAATGCAGAAAACTGTAGGACCCCCCACATGCACACAGCAAGTGTATTATATTGTTATGCACAGTGACATTAAGAGAAGCTTGCTGCCTTTCCTCCCTGCTTCCCATGATACCTTACTGGGAGGCAGCCTCAATGTACAGGAGCAGCTCCATATAGAAGGTGGTCAGTATGGGTGGACAGTCTGGGGGCCAAGATAGGTTGGCA